CACGAACAGCTTGTAACACTCCAAAGAGAAAGGAAAACTTGAAATCGCCTCATATGACCCCTTTAATCAAAATTCAGTGAAGTGGTCCTCCACTTCTATTGCTGGTTAACAGCGTGGATTCATGTCACTGAGTACATAGGCTTGAGAGTTATGAAGGAGTGGCTGTCTCTTGTCTGAAAGACCGTTTCAGCATTGACCTTAGCGTGATCAACACATTGCCCTCAATAACCTCTCTACTCATGTGTCAGATTCAAGAACCGCAGCACTGGGGAACAAGGCTGCACAGACCTGCCCTTACTACAGTCTGGATCACCTTACATATTAAAAGCAGCTCAACTAGTAGTTTCTTATTATAAATCAAACGCTTTTGCAAAACTCCACTTGGCTACAAGTAAAGAATTTGGGTAACTTTTTTTAGGGATGGCGTATCTGCCGATACCGATCCGATACCAGTGCAGTTTTTTTTAAATGAGTGTAGAATTTCTATACCTCAATGTGTAGGTCGATCATCACTCTTTTGTATGTTACACACAATCTACTAAATATAGACAGCTTCATTATAAAGAAAAAATAACAAACAAAAAAATATAATCAAAATCTATGACAAAAATACTATTATAAACTAGGTTAATGGATAATTCAGTAGCAAAAGTTACTCTAGAAAAATCATGAGTGCACAATAATTTTATAAAATCCTAAACTTTTAGTGGGAAAAAAATATATATTATTTTGTGGGTAACAAATAAAAGTGAGTAAGTGTAGGGCTAAATCTGGTAGGCCTACACATTGCTTTTTGTATTGTAAAATACATTCATGAAAAACAAGTAATATATTTATATATAAATATATACTATAGTAGTCAACATTTGAAGTGGATCAAAACATTCCATCAAAGTTGTCAAAAAACCAAAACAATACCCGTTCTTGTCTTAGGAAATTAATAATCTTTCATTGCGCAAAAGTATTATGATACTAAAGGCTACAAATACAGAGCAGCTCAAAGTGCTTATGCGCATCCCGTGCGCAGAATGACGTGCTTGAAGCAAGTCACAGCGCACAGCATAGAGAAGTTCAAAACACAAAGTGAAGAGATATTGATGCGTAGTGTATTAAATATGTGCGTTCGTTTATTGAGAAGTTTGAATGCTGAATGGAGGATGACAGACAGCCGCTGCGGAGAGAAGTGTTTACGTGAACTTGACTTAAATATTCATCTGTACCGCACATTAAACTATGGAAAAGCTTCAGAACACTTGAAATATAGTGCACGAAAACTTTATGGTGCTTTATAATGTTTTTGTGGCTTTCGTGGGGCTTAATAATAACACAATAGTATACGCACTATATCGGATTTGGATCGGTCTCTTCTGACCGATACCCCAATCCAGCAGAAAATGCCAGTATTGGAGCGATACCGATACTGAATATCGGATCAGCGCACCCCTAACTTTTTTGAAAAGCAAGTTGTGTTTCTTTTACTAAAACAGCCCTTGACTTTACTGTTCTTCAAAAACTTAGCATCTTGTTTGAAACTGATCATCGGCAATGCTTTGCTGAGATTATTAAAGAGGCAAAACTGATATATTCACCGTCAATCCCAATCAAACGTATTGCAGGCCGGTCAGTATTTTACATAAAACAGGCTTATTTATACTAGCCAAGTGCAAAACTAAAAAAAAATTCATAATTGACTATTCGATTGTTGAACGACTACCCAACTCAACTACTCACCCTGACCCATCCTTAATTTACATATCTTAAGGTGTGTACATTTATCATTCTGCGAATCTTTGCGGGCAATACAGTCATTTTGAAAAAGAATACACACAATGAGGAATATTCCCTCACAGATTTAGCAATGGGTTGAAGTTGGTCAGGCAGATTTGCCGCAGTGACCAACAGAAAGCTGCTTGGTTTGACAGTGACTTCTGTGTGAGCTGTGCTTCATACCTTGCTACACTATTGACAATAGACAATGGCCCTTTTTTGCCTGTGAAATTTCACAATTGTGCCCGCACCTTAGGCCTAGGGGGTAAAATAAACTATTTTAATATGGGTTTCAAGAACAGAATTTGGAAAGTGTTCATTTACATGTGGTCAGTCATGTTAAATTTGTATATTTGTGCCTAATTTGTATATTTGAGTCATTAGGCTTGCATTTCTCTGTTTTGCCATTTTGTACACAATTCCTATTTCGGATTCTGGAAATGTTAGTCCTATCAACAGACACTAAACAGGTCAGAGTACTCGCAATATTCAGGACAAAAGCAAGCCTGTTCCGTTTTACTGTTTGCCCTATTTAAAAGTCAGCTGATATTTTTTATTTTCTCTAGAGTGCTGTGTTCCCTATACAGATCTCGAGCCTCCAATATAGCTCAAACATGAAATTCAATAGTAAAAACGCCCAATGCATATAGAAGAGTGACACTGCCAACGAAGCAACAAAGTCTGAACTCTAATCAAGAATTGTCCATGACAACAGTTATCGTGATCGACGTGACATTATAAATTACATTGCAATCCCAGAACGCACAGCAACAAGCTAAGTGGAAAAAACACCCCCCACAGATTCAAAGTGGAGGATGAGGAAGAAAAAATATTTATTATGAATCAAAATGTATTCAATGCTGAAAAGTAGGGATGTAACGATTAACCACGAGCCGGTTGAAAATCGATATATTAGTATATTATTATAGTGTTATATTTCAATTTCACAGAAATGTGCAGCATTTTGTCCAAGCAATAATAAAAGGACACATTTAATTTATAATTTGTCTTAAATCTCATTTTGTTAAAAAAAATAATCGTGAATCGAATCGTGAAATCAAAATTGTGAATCGAACCGTGAGTTGAGTGAATCGTTACATCCCTACTGAAAAGTATAGAAAAACATTATCATGTTCAGCGTTATTTGTGTGGCCTACAGAGGTCCTGTCCATATAGAGACTGTTCGAGTTTTATTAAAATTACTCATTGGTCTTCCATAGTAGCAAACCTTTAGATCAAAATAACCACAGTTCAATACCATGGTAAAAAAATGCAATTATATATTGAACTCGTTATCATTTTATTGAGGAAAATTATATTGCTATAATTATTGTTATCGTTTTATCGCCCAGCCCTAATGCTTAATAAATAAAAGTATGGATTTCTCTTTCTTTTCTTTTTTTTTACATTTCTTTAAACAAAATCCTTTGAACAGTAGTGTATATATCCATAACAGGACAATTTAGTGTTATTTAAACTGACTCCTTTGTTTTGCTTTTTTCATATTTTAATATTTAACGTCTGGGTCTGGGACAAAGGTAAATCAAAAAGTAGGTTTTAAAGTGGTAATATGACAAAGAAGTTAAAATTTATTTGTGTTACTAAAAATAATCAAACCCTGGGACATAAAACTGGCTGAAGATGAAGAAACACTTTTGTTTTCTGTGGTGGGGAAATGGGACTTACTCAGCGATGTCGAGGTATCCGCAGGAAGCGGCAGCGTGAAGGGGAATCCAGCCTTCGTTGTCGGGCTGGTTGATGCAGGCTCCATGCTCCACCAGGAAGGTCACCATGTCCACATTATCATCTATGCAGGCCTGGAAAAGAGAAGAAATTAGTTAACATCTAAGCAAGAGTACGGTCTAGCCATTTAGCATCTCGCAGAGTAAACCTTTTCAAATCATTAGGGCCTTTCGCACCGCTTTAGTTCCAGAACTAAATGTACAGTACTAAAGTACTGGGACGATTTTGCGCGAACTATTTCCCAGTACCATTTAAAGGGTTGCATTCGCACCGACAGTGTGTACTAGGAACCGGTCGACAGCGACGTCATTTGTGCACGGCGTTCAACAACGGAAACAAAGAAAAACAACGTTAACAACAGGAGGATGGAGGACGCTGTGATCGGAGCTGTGTTTTTGTTGTGTCTCGCGGGTTTCACAATAATGGACATGGAAAGTCGACGAATACGTAAAGTGATTGAAAGAACGGAAAGGAGGACTAAGAATCTCCAACGACAACTGGCAGTGCTACATTTGCTACAAGTGCCTGCACTTCAGCATCCGTCCATCTATCGCTGTTCTCCATACTTGCGAAATAAGTTGATACAATGTTTACAGTATGTTTACACAGCGTTTTAAATCATGGCGGGGGAGGGCGTTTTCATACGCGTTTGGCCAATCAATGTCTACTTACGTCACGATTAGTACCAGTTGTGCTGGTTAGACCCTGCTCTGGAGTAGGAGCTAATTTGGTTCTCGAAAAAGGCAGTCCGGTACTAAAATCGCACCCAGTTCCGGCGGTGCGAAAACGCCAAAAAGTGGGTAGTTCCACAATTAGTTCTGGTACTATGAAAAGTTTCCTGCGGTGCGAAAGGCCCTATAGATCCTTTCAAAACAGGCTAGCATTTTAGTCTGGATTAAAAGCCTTAGCAAAACAGTTTCATAAACCCAAATGTGAGCTTCAGAGCCAAACATTAATCTTCAGTGGGTACCTATTCCTCTAAACAAAGACACATTATATCATCAGGTAACCAAAATGCCTTGAGGGAAATAAAGAGGTCTGTAAGTAACCACTCGATGAGACAAAAGAGCTTGAAATAGACTAGCGTTGTCACTACAGTGACTATATATACACAGTTCAAACGTTTGGGCTCAGTAAGATTTTAAGAAATAAATGCTTTTATTCAGTAAGGACACATTGAATTGTACAGAAGTGACAGTAATATTTCACAATATTTCACAAAATGTACTGTACTTTTGTATCAAATAAATGCTGCTTTGTTGAAAAAAAAAATACAACTGACAGAAAAATATTAACTTCAGCCATTCAGTTTCAAATAAAATACTTTCTTCCTTCCTACAGTCGGCAGAGACAGTTTTTTTGTCATGGCAATCATGTGAACTGCCTAATTATCTTATGTTTTGAGTGGAGCTTTCAGTGTCCATTGTCAAACTCAAACACCTCACAGTCTAAACTCTGCGACCTTGACTAGTGTCCAACCTCGGTTCTCCATGTGCTCCCCTCTTGAACGGCTGCCCGTAAAAGCTCCTGGTTGCCATGACAATACCATAGGACAAAGAGGGAAACACACAAACCAGCCTCACGTTCAGGGCACACGACTATCGGGTTGAAATCCTTGCCCAAATTTGGGCTGTTTACAGTAACGCAGTAGAAACGTGTGGGCCTCTTTGCTCTTATCAGGGCCTTGTCAAGCTAGAAGTAGAGGAAACCAGGACTGTCCAAACAGCTAGCTTCAAGGATTTTGAACACCTTTTACAGGTCTGATGTGGCTTTTTTTTTTTGTACACAGCCTTCATCATGAAATCAAAATGAACAACTCCTTTTTTTTTTTTGTATGGAATATTGCAGTTTATTATAAATGATTTCTGTATACACATTTTTTTTATTTATGTGACAACAATCTTAAACCAAAAATATTAACTTCCCCTCCCCGCACAATGACAAACATCCCGTTTGCACCGGGACAACAATCACTCCTCACCAGCAAAGTGTCAATCACATGAGATCTCAGCAATCACAATCCCATGATCCAAACAATTTCCAATGGACAAAATCAAGCACAGTCCTAATTATTTTCTACGGAGGACTACACAGAAGCAATTTCATTAGCTTAATAATGGTACTCGGTTCTGTGCCTGATATGAAATCCTACAATATATAAACTACAAAATCATATAAATAAATTAATGTCTTTTATATTAGTTTACATAATAGTATATAACCAAAGCTATAAATATCTATGAAAAAAATTTAAATTTTAGCTAGCTAAATGTACACTGACATAAGTTTAGTTAGCATATGTTTAGCAAACTATGTGCTCAGCTTATTAGCTTACTATACCACTACCGGATTCGCCTTCTAACTTACACTGTGTCCTAACTACATGCGATGCAACAAGATTCCAGCGACAAACAATTTGGCTGTCCACGCCAGACGCGACACGACAACTTGACGCGACAGAATCAATCAAACATCACAGCCAATCAAAAGCATGTGTGGGCGGGCTCTCTCTGGAAGCGCACTGCACTCGCAATGAAATGGATAAGTTTATAATCTAATTCATAAATATTAAACCTTTTTAACATTATTAAATGTGCATACTGAGTGACTGATACCATTTTTGTTATGAAATACGGTTCGCAGTTTTAACGTACATGTTTCCTTTAATTTATTTTCAAGATCTGAGATAAACTATCTGTTGTTGCTTTCAGTTTGGCTATAAATGTCATGCAATATGATATTCAAACTCACATTAGACACATTTAACAGTGAATAAAGCAGATAATCAGTACCTGAGATTATCCCTGTCACAGAAATAGAAACCGTTTCTAAAATAGAAATTTTGTGTGTCGCCGTTGCGGCTGGTTAGGACAAAAACTCCGATTAACATGGAAAAGATACCTTTTATCGAGTGTCGCGGCATCGCGTCGTGTGTAGTTAGGACATGGTATTAGACTATACCCTGCAACAAATGTAAATGTTTTATACATTTTGTTTGCTTGGGCTTTAGAAATGGCTACCTCCTGGGATCTTAGGTGGACTCGACAGGAAGAGCAAAACGAACTGACCACGGCTCTCAACCAACCAGCCAATAACCACAAGGTCTCCTAAGCCTTCAGCAGATAGATAGCAGTTTTTTTCTGTTGATTAAGACTTTGGCAAAAATAATAACGTGGTGAACAAGACTTAGGGCTGCACGATTATGACAAAAATCATAATTGTCGATTATTCCCTTGAAATTGTAATTGTGATTATTAATTACAATTATCACAATTTACATTGAATGATGTTTATACCATTGTTTGATGCAACTGCATGCCGTATTTTTATATGAAAATAAACAAGCTGAAAACACTCTAACTGAAAAACCTTTAGTGCTTTTCTATAGTATTAAGCCTCAAATGTCAACTATACATCGGATTGGTTTCTTCTTTAAATTATAAAAAAGGTAAAAAATATGAATGGTATTATAATGTTATACTAAAACTAAAACAATGGAAAAACCCTCAAGATAACATGTAGAAAGAAAAAAACATATCTTAAGCGTGCAGAATAACATAAGTGGACTTTGAACGATTAATTGCCGCTTTGAACGATTACGTAATTGTGGCATCCATAATTGTAATCGCGATTAGAAATTCGATTAATTGTGCAGCCCTAGAACAAGTCTGACCAATTAAGACTGATTCAAGCTGCTCTTTTTAAATGATTAATTAAAAAACAACTAGCACAACAACCACAAAAGAAATATACATCATTGTATTTTATTGCCATTATAGGTAATTAACTTAGAAAAGTGAAACAAAAACATTTAATCTGGAGAATTTTTTAGGGACATCCAAATAGGCCTCGTGTCATTCGCTCGGCCTCGGGATAACGTGTCCTACCCAGTCCCCTTGAGGCAAGAAAACATTCCCTCTGCCCTCAAAACACAGCATGTTTATTATAAGCCAAACCCAGCCGTTCCCACAGCCCAACAATGGCAATCCCTTAATGGCTAAAATTGCTCAGGCCAGACAGGTGTGAGAGGCTGTGACCACATCAGGGAATGTAGAGCTGGTCTTTAAGCCATAAGACAGGGGAAATTACTCTCCAAAGAAAAGGACGACTCTAAACTAATTCTGTAAAGTGCTTCTGAGCTCCATGTTGGAGTCTCTGAGCACTTCTTGTATGTAGCATAGAGGGAAAAAAAGCATCGTCAATTCCTTTCTGAACATGCACAGGGTAGCTATAAGAACGTCATCTGTGTGTAATGAAGACAGATTTGGTATGTGGGCGTCAAACTAATCCAGACAGACATGAGGAGGTCTGTTTTTGTTTTATATGATGGTGCGGCTACACATTCAGGAGACATTTGAGAGCTAATCTGACTATTAATGTTAGTAATAATAGCAAGGATTACATCCAAATCCCACATTACTGATGGTTGTGGACAGGCATGTACAGAGACCACAGACATATAGTACTGACTCAATAGCGAACAAGTCGCCACATCTCCATTCAAACCTCTTTGACAGAGCTGGAGAGAAGCATTTATTAGCACAAGATGCTGAGATACAGCAGATATATGCAGGTGCAGGTATGATGACCAACAGAAAGCTTTGGTTTGAATGAGACTTCAGTGTGAGCTGCGCTTCATACATTGCTAAACTATTGACAAAGCACCTTTTTTGCCAGCAAAATGTTGCAGAATTTTCACTAAGACCACATTTTAAAGGGATAGTTCACCCAAAAATGAAAATTGCCCCATGATTTACTCACCCTCAAGCCATTCTAGGTGTATATGACTTTATTCTTACGAATACAATCGGAGCTATATTAAAAAATGCCCCAGCTCTTCCAAGCTATATAATGGCAGTGAATGGGGATTTTGAAGTAAAATAAAATGCATCCATCCATTATAAAAAAGTGCTCCACACGGTTACTAAAGGTCTTCTGAAGTGAATGCACTTGATTTTGCTTCAAAATCTCTAACCCCATTCACTGCCATTATAAAGCTTGGAAGAGCCGGGACATTTTTAAATATAACTCGTATGAATTCGTCTCAAAGAAAGTCATGTACACCTAGGATGGC